CCCCCCCCCCCCCCCGGGTAATCAAGGTCGGATTGTTTACACTAGACAATTTTACTTCTTTGGCTAGAAAGGTTACCCTACCCTCGGGATAATCCATGTTTTTAAACCAAAAGAAAAGCAGATACTACTAAATGTCTTGAACATGCGCAACGGGGACGCGCAGCCAACCAGGGTATCGTTTTCAGCGATTTTACTCTGGAACAGGGTATCGCTTTCAACAATTTTCTCTGGTAAAAATTTGGTCTACACGCAAGCTAGCGCTGGATTTTACTCTAGAACAGGGTATCGTTTTGAGCGATTTTACTCCGGGAGTTGGCGTAAAATCGCTCAAAACGATACCCTGAGCATCATCCAGGCAACTTTTTCCTTGCTGGTCCTGTTTATGGAGGGATGAGAGAAGTGCTGTTACAGAAACACCAATGGCTGAAATCTAAGCTTAGATAATGTTACAGTCACTCAAGAGAACACCTTTACGAAATTTATAAAATCGAACAATCCTTGGGCTACCTGTGTTTGATTCTAGCCCAGACTCTTTCTTGTTTTCTCCAGTAACGCCTGGGAGGAACTCACATCACCTCTATTTTACTTGTTTCTGTATAAAGGTTGCCAAATAATCGTTTCCAAGCGAAAATGGAGACCAACTGGATACAATACAAATGTAGATCAGGGCAGACTTTGTTAGTTTATAACAAGAAGACAGGACAGTTTAAGTGGCCTTCCGATGTAAGTTGATAGTATAAAAACTGGTTTCAGAAGAAATTGACTCTTCTCGATGTCTATATCTAGAGACTCCTAATATACATACTATGAAATCTCATCTTCATACAGTCTATAGATCTACATGGGTAACAAAATAATGTTTATTCCTACTAGCTTTTAATTCTAAAGTTTTGATGCATATTTTCATTTTCATCTTTAAGAAAAGTTTATCAGGAGAAAATAGTACAACTGTCATGTTGGGTGAGCCAGTTTTCACCAAAGAACTGTGTACTACTGCAACACAGACTGATGATGTTGGCTGTATTAATGGCTGTACATCCATGTACATCAGTACAAGTCATTTAAGTGCTGACATGGGTCTAGTGACAAGAAGTCACATGGAAAATGGAAACAGATTCAACAAAGATAGTGTTGAAGCAACAAGACACATTCAAACCTTCCACAATTATACTATTCCAACACAAACAGATGATAAGGCAATATCTGAATCTATTTTATACAACAAAGAAACATCACAAGAGATGCCAGATGTTGTAGATGAAGTTGCAAATACACTAGATATTGAATCAGGTATTGATAACGGAAGGATAAATGCGATAACTATAGACATGGATAAAATGATAAACTGTTATGAGGAAAGTGATGGAAAAATCTTTAACAATGATGTTGATAATAATGTAACATCAATTCAATCTTGTCAAGAACAGTTACAAGACCAAAGCGTAAAACATTTTAAGTGTGATAGATGTGGTGTAACCTTCATATCCAATTCCCTTTTGGAAGATCATATTGCAAGGATGCATCCTAAAGAGAAGTCCTTTGAATGCTCTTATTGCAAAAAGAAACTTCGATCCAAGAAAAATTTAAAGAAACATCTAAGAATCTTCCACCTCACTGTTCCAACACAAACAGGAGAAAATCCTGGATATACTTCCAGCGATTACAGCCAACACAATATTGAAACAATAACACACTATGCATTAAAACAGTTGCAGGAACATGGAGTGAAACGTTTTAAGTGTAGCCATTGTGAGGATGCGTTCATATGCAATTCTCTGTTGGAAAATCATGTTGCGAGGATGCATTCTAAAGAGAAGCCCTTTGAATGCCCTAATTGCAAACACAAATTTGTGTCCAAGAAAAATTTAAAAAAACATGTGAAAAGCTTTCACCACACTACTCCAACACAAGTAGAAGAGAATTTGCTTGAATGTTCTTATTGTAAAAAGAAATTGAAAACAAAGAAATATTTAGAAGATCACATCAGAACACACACAGGAGAGAAGCCATTTGAATGTACGTATTGCCAAAAGAAATTCGCACGTGATCATGTTTTGAAAGATCATTTAAGAATTCACACTGGAGAGAAGCCATTTGAGTGTTTTCTTTGCAAAAAGAAATATAGGCACAAGATTACTTTGAAAGATCACCTGAAAACAACACACTCTGGAGAGAGGCCCTTTGAATGTTCTTATTGCAAGAAGAAATTTGCTTTAAAGAAATTTTTGAATGTTCACATAAAACAACATGTTAGAAAAAGTGTACAAGAAGCTGACAAGAAAATATGATCAACAGTACATTATAATCATAAAACATGCTGGATAGTCAACCCTTTAAAAGCTCTTCATGTAAAAAAAAAAATAAATAAACAGGAAAAGCATTTTCATTTTGTTTGAATTGTTCTTATTTGCCAGTGGCAAAATACATTGAAGATATTGTCATGGCTAATGAAGAATACTTGTTTTAAAAGTTTAAAGTTTACTACTTTATAGAAAAAGAACTAAAAGAAATCAGAAATGAAGATCCAAGCTTCTTTGTAATGAATATGCAAGAGCTATGCCAGCTCCTGATGTGGAAATCCTCTTTTCTGTAGTTCAGAAAGCATAGTGATCATCTGTTGTTGTTTTTTGTTTTTTTTGCTTGCAGTTTTTTATTACTTATTTTATGAATATTCATGTTTATCGATACCAGAAACTCATAAGGGGATTGAATTCAATCCCCTTATGAGTTTCTGTCGATACTTATACAACTTTCTTTGCGTATTTGCTAGTTGACAGTTTCTTGTCATCTAGGTTAATTACCAAAATGCCTTAAAACCACATTTTACATTATAAAAAAAATGTTAATAAATGTGGTTTTGACCAATGAGAATATTCATTTTATCATAACACAATTTATTTTATCAATGTAGAATATTACTAAAGGCTCACATTGTGAACATTTCCTACATCTGCCAATTACCTCAACAGAAGCACTTTACCATTATTCTGATGAGTTGTTTATACTAGAACAAGAGTGCGTGTTTTATCGGGATATATTGATTCGAGTCGCATGCGAGAATCTATACCCGATAAAAAACGCACTCGAGTTCTATAAACGACTTCTAAAGCTCCAACATCCAGGAGTTGTTATAATTTTAGAAAAAAGCTAAAAATTGCGAAAACAGTGACATTGTATATTAAACTTCTAATGAGCATGTACATTGTGCCACAATTGAAAGAATTTTGATCCTACAAACTGAAGAACGCCTTGTTTATGCTATAGTGCATGTCTGCACATTGATTCAAACTGATTTGAAACCTAAGCAAGGTCTATGATGCGACATTAAAAACTAACCTGAGTATCAGGCCTTCGAGGGGTTTTGGGGTGGAGAGGAAGGCCTCTCCCATTTTCTTCTCCTTACATATTTCCCCCTCGAGAGCCTGATACTCAGGCTACATTAAAACTGAGACCTTTKCCAGTGTTGGGTAACGCGATATTTATATATATAAAGCATTGATGAACTTGAACATCAGTTCTTTATATCTGATATCTATATCTATACTCTGTTTTCTGATTAAAGGGACACTGTCAATGTATGCGCAGTAACAGTCTCACCTCTAACGGACTTTGAAAGTATAACCTTCGAAGTAAATCATTTTGTGGTGCTTTTGACACACTTTGGAATATTCTAGATCTGTTTACGTTTACGATCTGATTTATGTCGCGCCAACTTGGAGTCATAAACTTGAAAACACTAGCCTAGTGTTTTCAAGTTTACTCGCGCATGTCATCCATTGACAGTGTCCCTTTAATAACTTAGTTCTATATATAGAACTATATGCTCATTAATTATTAATGAGTTCTAGGAATTTTTCTTCAATTTGGCCCTGGGGGGGGGACTCCCTAATATCAAAGGGCGGGGGTCCTCGGCGGAAATTATGAAAATGACCCCTAAGAGGGACCTGTGTTTGGAGATGATGGGCGTGGCAGTGCTGAAATTTCACCCCTAAAAGGGACCAATCAATAACAGGTAATTTTGTTATGTAGCTGCACCTACCTTTCATAGGAAATATGACGGCTTAGGGACGTCATATACCCTAAAAGGGACCACAAAAAGTTGGGGGAAATTCTYGTCATTATAACCCTAAGCGGGACCAAAATACCGATTTCAAACCCTAAAAGGGACGCCGAGGACCCCCGCCCTTTGATATTAGGGATTCCCCCCCTCCAAGGGAATTTGGCTCGCGAGATTAGATCAAATCCCGGATCAAACGCGTTTCCAATCATAATAGTTAACACGTTATCGATTTGCAAATTGATAGCTGTGAGAAATTAAAATTCATGAAAGAATCGAGCAAATGTTATTCAAGTATTGGTTACGGCGCTGGCCAAGAAAAACGAAGGCTCGCGGTACGAGATTGACTTATGACAGCTTTGCACGTGCGGTGGTGACTCGAACGAACTCTGCATGAAGTTTTAATCCAAAATATTCCCTTCATCGTGATTTGTTCTCAGGTAAGTGCTGAACTAGACGATCGTAGATCGCTAACGTGGCCTTCCTGTAGATACGGCAATAGTCTACTGCCACCATTAGCTTTATTCACGACTTTCCATACCCAGCTTCAGTGACCACGAACAAAGCATTGGGAGCATAAAAGGAAAGATCTGTGATCAGTGTTCCTGGACGCCTCGGTTCAATGCTTTGTTCATGGTCACTGAAGATGGTATGGAAAGTCGTGAATAAAGTTTAAGTTTAAGTATATTTCATTTAACGATCGAGTATTTGTGTTTGAAATAGTTCGAGACAGAATAGTTAAGTTAAGTTTTAAGTCAATACAAGTAAGAATTTAAGTTACATTTTATTACATCTTAATTCTTACCAAGCAGAACTAAAGTACTACTACAACCTTTGGTTTTGTCATATGATTTGCATTCATTGCTTATATACTCAAACCAGCTGGTCACAGTAGAGCCGTAGATATCACGATAAGGCCACGAGGCCGACTGACGTACAAAACAATRCATGTCAAAAATGAAAACAAACGGCGGATTGATTTAGTTTGACAGCCCCATGGAAACTGAGACTAATATTATATTTATCGTTGTGTCTATATGACCSGTTACCAGTCAAGGTATGTAAGTACATAACTCTATCCAAAAATCTGCATTCTTTACTAGGATTGCAGTTCATGTTCAGATGGTTATGCTGTGGAGTTATGCTGGCAGACAGCTCACATGATAATGTTGTATTAAAATGATATATGATGATAATGTTACATGATGATAATGTTATGATGAAAATGTTGTATGATGATAGAGTTGTTTGATGATAATATTAGTATGATGATAATGTTGTATGATGAAAATGTTGTAGGATTCATCATACAACATTATCATACAAGATCATACAACATTATCAGCATACAACATTATTAATATATACAACATTTTCATTATACAACATTATGATCATACAACATTATCATACATTATCATACAACATTATCATAATTCAATATTATCGTGCAAAATTATCATCATACAATATTTTCATCATACAATATTTTCATCATACTACATTATCATCATACAACATTATCATCATACAACATTATCATCGTGCAACATAATCATCATACAACATTATCATCATGCAACATTTGATTGTTCACATTTGATTGAATTTATTTATTTTTTTGCAAAGAAAGAAATCTAAAGAAATGTCAGCTCCTCTGAGTCTTGAACCTCAGACCTCTGAATTAGAAATCGAAGGCACTTCCACTTGGCCATGCATACCAATGTTATATAATTGTGGTTAGACTTGTCTTTTAGTGCAGGTGCTCGCTCCTGGTTGTCAAGAATCAAAGTTAAAAATAATTAGATTTTAACRAAAAAGAAACTGTATTCAGAAATCGTTCACTTAAAATTCTATTTGTAATTAAAGTAATTATAATTTGATTCGTCTTACCGGTTCAGTCACAAAGGTGGAAGCAAGCAAAGAAGACTGGCCGATCCTCCAAATTCGTTTCGAAAATGATTGTACGAAGGTGCTGGCCTGCTTATCGAGAACACAAGTTAATATTCTGAATTAAATTTAAAACATGTGCTTAAAGAATATGAATACACATATGCAACACATCTGTTGTCTATAGATACAAAATTACTTTGCATACTTACTTTGACAGTTTCTTTGTTATCTAGGTTGATTACTAAAATGACCACACTTATGATTTAACAAAAATGTAACAAAAACACAAATTTCTCTATCCGACAGACTCAGATATGTTAAGAAATTGTCCCTTTTGCCTTGTTAACCGGATACTATTTGACTGTTTCATGGTACATGTGAACTTGTTTTTGAAACAATATTCTTGTTTGGCACACTAAAACCAAGACTTTCAATGAAGCATGTTTGTCTGTTGACCTTTTCAGTCATTGATAGTTTAAGCTTACAAACTCTTTGATGATCAAATTTAAGAAAATTTCTATTTGGTTGTTTGTTGAGGTTTATATTTGTTTGCTTTTATTGAACTCCCGAGATATGGATACAACACCACATATAGGCTCACAATGTTGAAAGCTCGTGGCTAAAAAAACTGTTTTATTCTAGGTGTTGTAATAGATGCCAACATGAATATCAATGTAAAGACAGAACCACAAACTGTCAGTGACGACTGGTTTGCTTACCAAACTGATGCTGGAGTCACTTTCTTTTACTACAACTGTAGAACTGAAGAACACATGAATGTCTGTACTTCTCCAAGCTTTCAAATGGTAAAAATATGATTGTAGAGTCAATATCAGCAAATCAACTTGTTATCATGTTATATGGGTGTGTGCCACACAATAGGGTATGGTTTTGGCCAGGGGGGGGGRGGGGGGGCGGGGGGGGGGCACTCCCTAATTAAACCTTTTAGGTTTTGAAATCAGTGTTTTGGTCCTGCCTAGGGTAATAATGATGAGAATTCCCATTAATTGAGGTTTTTTAGGGTATACGACGACCCTAAGCCCCCTTATTATAAGATCAACAGCAGCCATAACGTCGTCATAAACTCAATACGAGCGACGATGTTTGATGCTAAAAAATAAATAAATAAATATGCGAAACCAAAACAGAATGAACTGTTATTCATTGGTCGCTCTTGGGGGTGAAATTTCACTAATCTTTCACTTGAGATCAGTAATGTTCAATGGTTCCTCAGTGTATTGTGGGTGTGATAAATTTAAGAATACATGTATCAAAACATAGATTTTCAGTCAGTTTTTTCTAGTAACTGCAGTATTAGTAAGTTGAACTCTTCCTGTTTAAACATAACTTTTGATATTAGAGTTTAAAGGAATTCACAGGGCTGGAGAGCTCAAAGCATTTACATGTACTTGTATGACAATTTAAACTTAACATAAAGTCTTGAAGATCGGTCATAACACTGCTCTCAAACAGAAATGTTTGTGCCTAAAATAGCCATTTGCCCTTTACTCTTGACTTAATGGATTAATGGATCTATTAAGCATATAAATTTTATACTCTTCTATTTTTTATCACCTTCATTATTTTTTCTCATTACCATGCCTTCCTTTCTCCTATTGGTCTACTTTCTACTTTATAAAATAACAATAACACAGTAAGTCAAAATAACAATAAGTCAGTAAGCTACTTTTTTTACTTTTTACAGGAGTATACTTTGTTTCAAAATTGATTCTTTAGGAACACTGACATATAGCTCACACTAGAGCGGTTTTCGTATGAGTGGGAAACCCAACGTATTGTAACGTGACTGTAACTGTACCGTAACCAAAATTGGGATGTCCAATTGGTTCTCTAAAATTTTGCTATTTTGTGATTGGATCAAATTTTCCCAATGTCGTACGTAACGGTAACAGTAATGGTGATTCTGTTTCGTGATTGGACGATTTCTCTTGCCGTGCAGTATTACGGTCGGTAACTGTAAGTGCGGTATTACCGTCAGTAAGTCTGATTTCTGATTGGTGCTTAGGAGCTTTTCTCTTTTCTGATTGGCCAAACTTAGACATCGGTACAGTAGCGGTAACGGTGTCCCACTCATACGAAATCCGCTCTAATGATGAGAACCATCCCATGCAGCAGTAAACTGGTGTGAGCTTCKTTGGTGTTTCTCAAGAAACAGTTTAACGTCGTAAAAAGTAGGTGAAATGACATAGTGACGTTCCGGACATTAATCCTCTGTCAGAGTAAAGAGATGAGACAATTAGCTATGTGTGAGTTTATATCAAGCTCACACTAGTTTACTTCTAGTTTCAGTGTTACTCAAGATATGAAATGTTCAAAAAATAATATAGCTAGTCAGCTACTTCCTGGCATTATGAAGTCTATGTGTATACCATAAATCCATAGTACCTAAAAATTATGCTTTCATTTGTGATTTATTCCTAATCCTAAAAGAACAAACTGTCTTATTTTATTGTCATTCTTCAATTTACTAGAAAAGGTTCAACAAAGGTCGAAGTATGCCAGAATTGAAATGCACAGAAAGCCAAAGTGATGAATATATTTTACCAAATTTCACCAAAAGTCTGGTTTCTGAATCTGTGAAAACAGAAGACATTGAAATTGATGAAAATGAAGAACTTGTGTCCATCTCATCTCATGCATCCAACAAGCTTCACTCTACTACACTAACAAGAGACACAGAGCTGGATGAACATAACGACAACAACCATTACATAGAACGTGATGATAGTAATAGTGATAGTGAAAGTGATAGTGACATACAGCAACCAAGCAACATTGAGGCCAATGAAGACACTCTTCAGGCGAATCATGACCAAGATGACCAAGATATTTCTGAAAATGAAAAGGATTACTTTTCTCCTGAGAATCAGCATCATCCTTCGCAAGATGACAAGCTGTTCATATGTTTGAAGTGTAACTTGGGGTTCAAGTGTGAGAGGCACTTGGAGAATYATGAAAASATAATACACAATGGWACAAAACSTTTTAAATGTGACTCTTGTGATAAAGTGTTTGCCCATAAGAACAGTTTAAAGATTCACAAAGAAGCACACAAGAATAAAGTAAGCAGCAATCTAGAGRGAAGTGGTGTACTGCATCATRCAAAGAAACAACAGGCAATTCAAACAACMGAGAAGTCATTCAAATGCACAATATGCCATAAAACCTTTAAACAAAAAKGGTACMTGAAACTCCACAYTCAAATACACAGAGGAGAGAAAGAATTCAAGTGCAATATCTGTAATAAAGACTTTGCAACAAAAGCTAGCTTACAAATCCATAATCGAATGCACCRAGGAAAGAAAGAATTCAAGTGTAATATCTGCAATAAAGACTTCACAGACAAGAATTATTTAAACAGACATTATAAAATCCACAGTGGAGAGAAACCATTTAAATGTACAATCTGTAATAAAGCATTCACATACAAGAATGATTTGAAGAGGCATCATCGAATCCACAGTGAAGAGAAACCATTCAAATGTACAATCTGCAATAAAGACTTCACAGGCAAGAATTATTTAAACAGACATTATAAAATCCACAGTGGAGGGAAACCATTTAAATGTACAATTTGTAATAAAGGCTTCGCACTCAAGATTTATTTAAACAGTCATCATCGAATCCACTACATTGGAGAGAAACCGTTTAAATGTACAATCTGTAATAAAGCCTTCACACGCAAAAGTTCTATAAGTAGACATCATCGAATCCACAGTGGAGAGAAACCATTTAAATGTGCAATCTGTAACAAATACTTCACACTGAAGACTAATTTAAACAGTCATCATCGAATCCACTCCATTGGAGAGAAACCGTTTAAATGTACAATCTGTAATAAAGCCTTCACACGCAAGACTAATTTAAACAGTCATCATCGAATCCACAGTGGAGAGAAGCCATTTAAGTGCACAATCTGTAATAAAGCCTTTACACGCAAGACTTATTTAATAAACATCCATCATCTAATCCACGGTGGACTGAAACCACATAAATGTGCAATCTGTAATAAAGCCTTCACATGCAAAAATTCTTTAAGCAGACATCATCGAAGCCACAGTGGAGAGAAACCATTTAAATGTACAATCTGTAACAAATACTTCACACTGAAGACTAATTTAAACAGACATCATCGAAACCACTGTGGAGGGAAACCATGGGATTCTTGAATCTACAATTTCAATTTAAGTTATAGCTTACATAGCCCATAATGTATTGAGAGAACTCCGCTATTTGAATACACTGATTTTATCGGAGGAGTACGTATTCTGTAACGAATAACAAACGCTTTTCTGCTCCTCTTTTTGAGAGAGTGCATGATGAGTTATTTTGAGAGTTTTAGATTCACGTTTACTGCAAACGCTAAACGTCAAATTGGCTTTTAAGCTTTGTCTCAAAATTTCAAACAAACGTAAAATCGCTTCGAAAGGAACAGTGATGCGCTTATGCACTAAAAAGTGATCTATTTTATACACAATCGCGAAAGAACGGAGTGTTAATACAGAGAAACAGTGATCACGTGATCAGTTTTGACGTTTGGCGTTCGCCGTAAACGCGTATACGTTGGATTTCCCAATCAAATGATAAATTGGATTTTCAGTAGTCAATTTGCTGGTGATCGATTGATTGTCTAAGTTGAAAACTAGGCTCTTCACTCTTTTTTTAATATCTAATTAAGTTTCAATAGGTTTCAAAAGGTTGATTGATAAAATTGTCGAATGGCGATTGCACAACTGAAAGCAACTATATGTTTTTGCTAATTGATGAGAAACAACTGATTTATTCTGTAAGATAGTCTGTAGTAAACATTAGCTCCATATACTCTCCACTTCTAAGCAAGGTGAATCCAATAAATTAAATTTGGTTTTTCAAAACAGTGTGTATAACTTTATTCCCATACTTTCGCTGTTCTCACCGACCACGTTTTTTGTAGCTAGCTACCTGAAAGATTTCTTGTCTGAGGAACGAATATTTGTAAATGTACAGATTTAAATATCTGTTAAGCCCAAATTGAAAAGAGATTCAAAAACAGGAACTTTGTATAAGACATTTTAAAGTGAGTTGTAAATGGAAAAGTTTTTTAAACTTTTAAAAATAGTTAGCAATATTACATCATTATCAATAGACTTCGTTTACCGGAAGGTTTCCTCGTGTGGAAATAGCCGACTTTAGATATTTTGGTTCAGTGACCATGCACAAAAGAATTGCAGACGAGGCTCCGGGGAAATAAAGAATAAAACGATATTATACGCTCTTTGATTGGTCATTTTGAAGCGTGCACTTCAAAATAACTCTTTGCAATATTAAAAAAAATAAAATTATCAATGGATAATCTTTGATTTATTCTTTATTTCCCCGGAGCCTCGTCTGCAATTCTTTTGTGCATGGTCACTGAACCAAAATATCTAAAGTCGGCTATTTGCTGACGACATCACCATCTCAGAAATCGTACAACCTTTAGAAATTTTCCCTTCAGTTCGCTACTACCTGCATGGTCCATAATTGGTCTCAAAAGATGACAATTACAGCTAAACTCAATGAAGGAGTTACACGCGTGTTTCAAGAATTCCCCTCCTGAATATCTCTAGGCCAAGTTGCTATTCAAGGGGGTTCACCCAGATCCAAGAATTGACACACCACAGCTGCTGTACCTTATCAACACGTGACATGACAGGAGCAACTCTGACGACAACACACCCGTCTCAAGGGACCTTTTGCACGTGTGATGCTCAATCGAACTCCACGAGATGAAGGTTTGATCCTATAAATATTCCCTTCATCGAGTGTTGTCAGGACTGAGTGATATTATTTTATGATATTTGAAGCCTTGAAATCGCTTTGATGAAAACACGCACTCAGAATTAAAGCTACAAGACTACAAGAATTTGACCACTTGTGTATGTTGTAAGCTAAGTTTAAGGTGTTTCGATTATAATAAATAGCGCGTCGCGCGTATTTTTAAACTCCAAGTGCGTCGCAAATTTGCACTCAAATTTTCACAGAACAGTGATTATCGATAATTCTTGTTCAGATACATTAAGGTAGCTCCATATAGTATTTTTCTAAGGCAAAGAGGAAAAAGGAAAAATCGATTGTTAATGTTAAATTTAGAGACTGGAATGACTAGTTTCTTCAAAGTTTCTTATCCATCATCCATTCGAAAAATCATCTCAGCACCCCAGGCGTATACGCAGATGCTGATTTTGAATTTTTTTCATTTTGATTATGGCATTGCATTTTTTTGTACGCATTATTTGGATTTTATATAACTCAAAAATTCCGCGGTCACATTTTCTGAATTTTTTATATATTTTTAGTCTCCTTATGAGGAATTGTCATGCAAATAGAGTCGTTCTCAATGACAGATTTCTTTTAATTTAATTAAGTAATGGTCCGAGTAAGAAGCAGGCAAGCAAACGGCAATGGAATGCATGAAGGTGCTCATTTTGTCTTGTATAATCCATCCATCTCATTGGTTAAAACATTTTAATGTTTTACAGCTGCAATTTTAATTAGAGCATTTTGACGTGGTTTCTTTTGTTTTCGGTAAAGTCTTTTCGAAAGAAAATCTGTTGTCAAATAAAACCGCGAAGACCGGCCATCTTTTTTGGCTCCTTTGGCTAAGCTGGCAAAACAGAAATAAGGAAAAAATTGTTGCTTGTTTCTTAACAAAGTTCCCATATGCTAACAGCTCTAAGATGGAAATTAATACAGTCGAACCTCTATTAAGCGGTCACGCACCCTCGGGAAAAACCAAGTGACCGCTTAATAGAGGTTGCCTAAAATTTAGCTTTTTACGTGGCAAAAAATTTTCTATTTCTTGTAGTTGGCTAAAGCAGAAACTAAACAAAGAAGAATTCGACGCCTACGGCTTTAGTTAATGCAACTACAGAATTACAATGTAAACTGACGTTTTTCATTTCACTGTTTTCGTAATATTTTTCACGTTCCGTCAGCTGATTTTAATCCTAATTACAAGAGGTGACCGTTTAATAAAGGCAAATAACAATGAAAATGCGCAGTTGGGAAAGTCAAAAGGGTGACCGCGTCCGCTTAATAGAGGTGACCGTTAAATAGAGGTCAGGTTTACAGTGAATGTTAGAGTCAAATTTCGGGAAGTTAATAGGTGACCGCCTAATGGAGGGTGACGCTTAATAGAGGTTCGACTGTATGTACATGATGAGAGGGTACATTATTACAAAGGGGTCTTAGCTTTTGCAGAAATATCTAACCGGCCAAAATTAAAAGCCGCGTTTCATTCAGCCAGTGAACCAAAGGGGTGTTAATTCTTTGCCTACCTTTTGTGTATATACTCATATAATCCACTTGTGCAAATTTTATAGTGATTTCGTAATTTATTAAAGAAAATCTTATATTCTGTCGATATCTAAATGCTAAACGTTGGACGAATGGACGAATTACCATTGCCGCGAATATAAGGAACCTTAAAATCGGTTTGGGCTTCCTGTGTGGATTGCTTGTCCGACGCTCGATCCAATTTTTTTTTGTAGTAACGCCTGGTTGGAATTCGCTTCTTATCTCAAAGCGTGTAGACAGAAGTAGACAGCGAAAATCCAATATATTTTTCCTTGCTAGGTTGTCAAAATCGCTTCCTGCACAAAATGGAGACTAACTGGATACAATACAAATGTAAATCAGGACATACTTTATTAGTTTATGACAAGAGGACAGGACAATTTAAGTGGCCTTCTGTAAGTTCATTCAACGTCATTTTATCCCTACTTTTCAATTCCTTATTCTAAAGTTTTTATGCATATTTACGCGTTGTATCTTCTAGATGTATCCATCAGGAGAAAATAGTACAACTGTAATTTTGGGTGAGCCAGTTATCTCTAAAGAATTGTGTACTACTGCAACACAGACTGATGATGTTGGCTGTATAAATGGCTGTACATCCATGTACATCAGTACAAGTCATATCGTGAACAACAAAGAAACATCATCACGAGAAATACCAGCTGTTGTAGATGAAGTTGCAGATAACCTAGATATTGAATTGGGTGTTGGTAATGGACTGGATGATGATGGAAATGAAGTTGGTGAAGATCTTGAAGTTGAATGTGACCTAGGTAACGGATCAGATGATGGAGAGATAGTAGAGAAAAGTGCAGACATGGATACAATGACAAGAAGTCACATGGAAAATGATGGAAACAGATTCAACAAAGATAGTATTGAAGCAGTAAGACACATTCAAACCTTCCACAATTATACTATTCCTACACATACAGATGATACTGATGATATTAAGGCAGCATCTGAATGTTCTTATGAGGAAAGTGATGGTGACAGTGAAAAAGATAATTTAAATGAAACAATACAGGTAAATCACTCTTTTCAAGAACAGTTAAAGGAGCATGGAATGAAATTGTTTAAGTGCGGTAGTTGTGAGGATACATTCATATGCAATTATCTACTGGAAAATCATGTTGCAAGGATGCACACTCAAGAGAGGCCTTTTGAATGCTCATATTGTAAAAAAACATTTTTATCCCAGAAAAATTTAAATGGACATATTCAAACCACTCACGTGCGTGTTGCAATGCAAAAAGAAGAAAAGCTATTAGAATGCTGTTACTGCAAAAAGAAACTAAAAGGTAAAAAAATATTAACGGAACATGTACGAACACACACAGGAGAGAAGCCATTCCAATGTTCTTACTGCCAAAAGAAATTTGCAAGGAAGCATGTTTTGAAAGATCATCTCAGAGTGCACACTGGAGAGAAGCCATTTGAGTGCTTTCTTTGCAAAAAGAAATACAGACACAAGAAAACTCTGAGAGATCACTTAAAGGCCCACACTGGAGAGAGGACCTTTGAATGTTCTTTTTGCAAAAAGAAATTTGTACTAAAGAAAGGTTTGAATGAACATGTGAAAAGGCACATCAGAAGAAGTGTTCAAGAAGTTGACGAGAAAGCATAATCAAAACATTTATCATACCCTGGATAACGTGTTCACACTATATCCATGAAAGATAACCTAAATAGTTACTAACAAACAGTTTTTGCTTCAATAACAATAGCAATACACATGAGTTAAACCATGTTTTTATGTCTTAACAATACATGTAATTAAAAATGAAGGGCATTGTTAATAGAGATCTTTCTATTGCTGTTCCAGTGGAATGATAGTGACTAATTGTCACTAGATAAAACTTTGTAAGTAACTATTTAGATTTTATTTCATGGACAATGTGTAAGCAATCTAGCTGCCCCTAAAAATTGTTCGTCAAGAGGAGTACTTTGATGGGAGCAGTTTCAATGTGCTTGGCTCGTAATGGACATTGTTATAGCCTGCGTAGCGGCTCTTGGGGGACTGGGGAGAGGACATCCCTTTTGTCCTCTCCCCAGTCCTCCTCTCCCCAGTCCCCCAAGAGCCGCTACGCAGGCTATAACAATGTCCATTACGAGCCAAGTAATCAAAGGCTCTGGTTGTAAATGAATGAGACTTTGATTTGATTGGTTCAAATTAATTCCCAATGTGTTAGTGTCTCAAYAACAACTGCAAGGGAAGCCAAGGCTTAGGGAGCTTTCATCTAGAGGAACTAGTTTTTTTCAAATATTACAATAATCATGGGGATACATAGGGGAGTTGTATGTATATGTATATTGTACATCCAATTTTGCTATATCACCCTAGTGTCCTAATAAATGAGCCCACTAAGAAGCAATTCACACATAAAAAATATACTTTTATTATTCTTTAAAAAATTGGTATTAACAGAGGAGGACGTTGATGACAGAGGGGAATTAGTTACAGGTGGAAGTTTGCAAGTACATGTATTTTGCAATCCTACATTCAAGCTTATCATTTTATTCATTTTGATTTCATTGTAAATGAGACAAGTTAATTAAAGTGACCACTTGTTAAGAGAAGACTGAATTTTAGCCTCAACTCTCATTCAAAGCATAAGATAAATACATAAATATTATATACGTATTCTATATATGTATCACTATTTCAAAAAAAAAAATCTAAAATAAAATTCAAATAAATAAATTTGATGGGTCCCCTGTGTAATTATTTGGGTTCCCTGTGCCTTATCTAGTTTGCGAGTAACGCCTGGCAAGTACTGCCGTCGTTCATTTTGTTTTTTTTCGGACTGATCTCGTCGAGCAACTTTGGCTTGGGAAATATACTTCTTGGATTGAATCGATAACTTCTGTTGATAAAATTTAAAGCTAATAGTCGTTATTAGTTAGTTTGAAAGCAGTTTTATCGATTTTACAATTCTTTCCAAGAGTTTCAAAGCGATGGAATCCAACTGGATAGAATACAAGTGCAAATCAGGACGGAGTCTGTTTATCTACGACAAGACGATAGAAAGAAATAAAAGGCCCTCTGACGTAAGTTTACATGAATACTTGAACTTTTATGTATAAATTGCAAAAATCCCGATTCTCCAGTAACGGAAACGGCTGTAATTAGGAGGGTTTTGACTTTTCGCGAGGAGTCTACCCAAATTTTGTCTCAGTAGCTATATGATCATCCATGTTGCTTTAGCATCACAACTAAAAATGACTATCTTTATGCAAAATGGCGATATAAGACTGAAATGACTAATGCGCCGAAATGACTAATGCGCCGTTTACACGAGCAATTTTTCCTTGACAAGTTTTCCTTGACAAGGAAAAATTTTTGCTCGTGTAAATGGGTTAAAATTGACAATTTTTCCTTGTCAAGGAAAAGCCAACATGTTCGATTTTCCTTGACAAGGAAAAATTGTCAAGGATGAAATTTGCTCGTGTAAATGGACAACAAGGAAAATGTGGCAAGGAAAACTTGTTGACCATTCACATGGGCAATTTTTCCTTGTCAAGGAAAACTTGTTTTTCGTTTACATGAGCAAAGAAACATTGTCAAGGAAGAATTGACGATTTTTCCTTGTCAAGAAAATTGTCAAGGAAAAATTGCTCGTGTAAATGGTGCTTAAAAAGCTAAACTAGTCTATAGAAGATAGTACAAAATGGCTATAGAATACAAGCAATTTTTTTTTTTWAWTTTTTTTTTTTTTTTTAATTTTTTAATTTTTTAACTTAGACTAGTGAGCAGCACCAAGGAGAACTCTTTGAGTAGTTGTAAAACTTTTTAATTTCCAACGCGTTTCGTCTCTTAACGGAGACTTCTTCAGGGAATGATTTTTACAACTATAGTACAGCAATATATAATAATGTAAACGTGATTTACAACTTCCTAAGGAAGTGACTAAAAGCTTACATATGCTGTTTAAAGGGACGTGTATATAACAACGTCGTGACTAATGTTATTATTACGTAAATAATTTGGGGACCATGCGATTCACTTCCTTAGGAAGTTGTAAATCACGTTTACATTATTATATATTGCTGTACYATAGTTGTAAWAATCATTCCCTGAAGAAGTCTCCGTTAAGAGACGAAACGCGTTGGAAATTAAAAAGTTTTACAACTACTCAAAGAGTTCTCCTTGGTGCTGCTCACTAGTCTAAGTTAAAAAATTAAAAAAAAAAATAAAAATTAAAAAAAAAAAAATTAAAAAAAAAAAATTAAAAAATTGTCAACGAAAACTGGTTGACCATTTACACGGACGATTTTTCCTTGTCAAGAAAATTGTCAAGGAAAAATTGCTCATGTAAATGGTGCTTAAAAAGCTAAACTAGTCTATAGAAGATAGTACAAAATGGCTATAGAATACAAGCAATAAAAGCTGTATGAATCGTGAAATGAAATAAGAAAGTTGTCAGTATTTTTAAGGGTGGTACTCATCAGGTAAAAGCTATTAATGTAAAGGGAAATGAAAAGAGAAGGAAAAAAGAAATGCCTATTGATCATTCGTACTATGTTGTACAAAACTACTTGATATTAATAATAAAATGACAATTTGTAAGATCTTTCAGTCATCATTTATTTCTTTTATAAAATTTAGTTCTGGTTAAAAGCTACATATATTGAGCACTTTGGCAACTGTTTTGTTTAAAAATGACATAATTATATAATTGGTTGATTAAACAATAAAAAAATGGAATTAGTATATATAGCAGCTATTTTGTACTATTTCGAAGATTAAGTAATGTATACGTACAATTCAAATGATAGTGAGAAGAGGGAGTCCAAGTGTGCCTCAACTAACTAATTGTTCAGTGTACTATGTCATGCTATTAGTGTTTGCACCCTAATGCAAGGTAAAAAAAAAGCAAAGTAGATATTGCAGAAATATCAACCTGAACAACTGACAAAATAAGGAATGAAAAAATATGTTTTCCATAGTTAGGAGTTAACAGAGAGAAGACTGTAATATGGGACGTACTTTTAGCTAATAAATTCATTCTTGTTAAATTCTTTATTCAATGTCTTTTAAGTTTGTCATGCAACTTTTATATGTGTCATTTAAGGCTCCAGTTGAAGAAAAGAGAAGAGAATTTTGCAGTATTGGTGTACAAACAGATAATACTGGCTGTGTTAATGGCTGCACTTCCAAGTATGTCAAAGTGACCCATACTGTGGCTAGGCCTGTACACAACAAAAAAACTGTAAGCAGGCCTACTACAAACAAGCAACAAAATCCAAAGAAGCCTGCAAATAACAAGAAAAATACGTCAATACAACAGAATTCAGATGATGTTACAGCCCCAGTTAGTCAAGACCTCGGTAGAAGATTGGAGGATAGGGCAGAAAGTAGTGCTGTCAACATGAATGAAATTGATAAAGCTGTGTTGGAAATACTTGGGGGAGGAAATGATGCCAACTTGATTGGAAATAACAGTCAAGCTGGAAGTGATCAAGAAGAGGTGATTGCTTCCAGTAATTGTGTTCGAGAAGAGGTAATTGTAGCTGGAAGTACTGAGAAAAGTTTTGAATGTGTTTTTTGCCAGAAAAAGCTCAAATGCAAGTCTGCTTTGGAAAGTCATGTTCGATCACATACAGGTGCAAGGCCTTTCCAATGTTCCTATTGCCCAAAGAATTTTGCTCTGAATTCTAATTTGAAGCGTCATACCCAAATACACACTGAAGAGAAAAAGTTTGAATGTCATGAATGCAAAAAGAAATTTTTACGGATTCCTTCATTGAAAGTTCATCTAAGAACTCACACTGGAGAAAAGCCCTTTGTATGTTCCTACTGCCAAAAGAGATTTACACAAAAGAAACATTTGAACGTCCACCTAAAATTGCACACGGGAGAGAATCTGTTCACTTGTCCTTACTGTGGGAAGAAGTTTAAGCGGAAAGATAATCTTAGGACACATCTTAAAATACACAGTGGAGGGTAATCCTGTTAATATTCCTTACTTCACAAAGACTACTATTTGTACTACAAGAGAGCTTGGAAGCTCATACAGACGCACAAGATGCCAGTGTTTTATTATACTTAAAACAACAGCAACAACAATAACAAAGAAAAGCAATTTGCTTGCATAGAAAAAGGTTGAGTTTTTAGTCAAGTTTTAATTAACACTATAGCTAGAAGATTTTATACTGTAAACCAATATATAACTTAACCTGCAACTTGTATTACATGTATGGTATCATTGATTTGAATGATTTTAGATCTATTTTCATTGACTTGCCTGCTGATAATTACCTTTATAATATCATATACTACTTACTGCTTTTTGCTAAACTTCTGAAGTTAGAAATACAACAAATATATTTAACGATATTAGACTGTGAGTAGAGTGGACAACAAATTGATGCTCTATACTACTATTATCTATCAAGATCAAGTGGTCTAATAAAATTGTTTAGCATCGATCAAACTGTAGGGTGAATTTCAAGACAAGGCCATAAAGAACAATTTTTTCAACATGTTTTCTGCTAGACTGATTCCATAAGCCCTAGTATTTTGCTCCTTGATTTTTCCGTTTGTTGCCTAGCGACAGATTTTTGTTGCCTAGTGACAGATTTATAACAATTTATAACAAAGAACTGGGACCAACTTATGGAACTAGTCTACTTTTGTGAGAAAAAAATATTTTTGGTGTTATAAAGTATTTCAAAATTAGGGTTCTAGKCAGATTGTCAGTAATGAGAAGTACCCACAATACATTTTAGCTTTATTTATAGATATTGATCACTGATTTTAAAGATTTTAAAGATTTTGTGTACAAAATAAAAGTTCTATAAGAAACATTTGTATAAAGTTATGCATACATGCAGTTTCGATAATGGTGAGGATCGATTCAGGGCTGTCAGCTCTTTTAGACAAGACAGAAGTTTCAAGATCTTGGATTTATGTTTTTTGGATTGCAGAATGATTCTCCCACTTTTTCTAAAAATTGGCAAAACTCTCATGGCTTTGACACTGGTTTGCCATGCATGAATTGATGTTGTAAAAAGTAAAATATCTCAAGACAGTGCCTTTTTGGAATTTTTAAAAAAGTGCGATACAGGAAAAAAAGCACTCGTAATATTATGGTGATAAGCATGGAAATGTTTAAAATCACTAGGCACACAAAGCATGAATTATGGGATAGAGTTTTTTTTTACACAAAGCATGAATTAAGGGATAGAGTTTTTTTTTACACAAAGCATGAATTAAGGGATAGAGTTTTTTTTTACACAAAGCATGAATTATGGGATAGAGTTTTTTTTTTTTTTTTGCTTATTATTTCAATCAGCTGAAAATTTTCTTATGATTATCAAAAACAATCATCATTAATATAAATATAATCAAACATAGTATTTCCAAATGACATTTTATCCAATATTCATCTTGTACAAATATGCATAAAATATAATAATGCTGAAAAAGTTTTACCTCAAATGACTGGCGAAGTAATGTGATAACGTGCAATGTAATCTTCGCGTTGATTGGTCAATTCTAAAATTTACATTTATAATAAGGAATCTGATTGGTCGACGCTTTATGTATTTTGGTTGCTCATGTAGGTTGACGTTGGTCGTTTGAGCAAACTTTTAGGCCGTGAACAAGATAAAATGGCCAAGAAATGCTTTTAACTTTATGTTAATCTTGTACAGAATTGTCGACAACTTTTTTCTTACATGTGACTGTGGATTTACGGAGAAATAATGCGAAAAAGGTAAGGGTAAATATTTCTTTTATCCCGCGCTGGACAATTTGTTTGGATAAGCCTAGTGATGATAAACTTAGCTCTTGTTTTTATTATTTCTAAACTCTTAAAAAATGCTTTTTACGTGAAGTACAACAAGCTGTATCCTCGATTTGTTTTTCTGTAAGCCTTTTAGGATTATTTCATGTGAATATTGCGTATAATACTTGCGGCATAGATAAAGTTTTTTTGAGTTCTCACAGACACGTATCTTTCCAGTCGACTCAACTCGACTCAACAGTGTCATTCCAACAACTGCGCTCACCCATAAACATTACTTTTACATGTAAAAATACTGTCCAAATATTCATATCAGAAAAATCTCTTTGATACCTTAAATCAAGGCTTTTATAGCTCTTATTTACCTGAAAAAGAAGTATATGATTATAATTCATCGAAGCTCCATTTCCGTTGGCGCCCTGCAGCTGTTCCATCGTAAGAATTCGTCCTTACGTTATGCATGAAGTTCTCGCTATTTCGATTTGAATGCAATATATGAGTTGATGCTGAAGTGTATTACTTTGAAATATTGAGATTAGGATACGGTCTGGTGAGGCATCAAAACCGGTGAGGATTTCAAATGTTCATAGCCGGGATGTCAGAGAACGCATAAAGAACTAGATTTGCCCTTTTGTCGTCGTTTTCAGGCAGTAGTTCCGTTGCTATCTCTTCGAACTCTGTGATTTTTTTGCTACTCTTTGTCTCAAGGTTTTTTTTGCAGTTTATAATGCCTATGATTTTTATGTTAATAACATTCAGTTATGAAGTTTAAGTTAATAATACGGCGTTAAGTTATGGTGCTCTTTCATCTTCACAGGCTAACTTAGGCTTAGCTCATTGTTTTCTTCAGTTTTTACTCACRAATAATTGTTTGTTACACAGTGACTGGATTTTGGACAAGGGTCAAGGATAATGCTGTGACTCGTATATAAATATCTCCAGTTCATCTTAAAATGCCTGTGGAGGATAAACGAATAAAGGGAGAAKTAGAATTTGATAGTGGGTAAGTTCTTTTTGCACCCTGTTGAGCATTCACATTCAAAATCRGGAATGGATTTATAATTTATGTCATCGTTTGTATATATAACTTACGTTACAAATAATATAGATTTGAATAAAGTTTATAAAAAAAAGAAGATTTTTTAGTATAATTACTAATGGATTCCATATTTCGGCGAGGCCGTAATTGCATATTCTGTTCGACTGCAAAGATCCTACTTMATGTTGTCATGAAAATATTAGTCGGTCACGAATTTAAATTTGTGCGCTATTTTGAATGTTTTTATTTGGAAACTCTATTTGAAACTTTATTACAGTCATTTYTCTGAATTACGTGTTATCGATAAAATCGATCTTGACGTGGAAAATATATATTATTGCCATCCCATTCTAGAACAATAAAAGTTGGGAATTTTGAAAGACCGCTTTTAAGAGCCATTTTGAAAGTCTACTGTAACTCATCATGAATAAAATAAAAAAAATTAAACTTTTCTTTCAGTTTGCAACATGGGAATTTTATAATTATCATAATGATTATAAACTTCAATGTATTAAAGGTTAAAAGTTCGCGTGTCTTTTAGTACTCGCTTTTAGATTTTTCGATTACACGATAAACATCTTGCTTAAAAATAAAATTGTTTTAAAAAACTGTAGACTATATTGACAGCAAAATTCATTCGATTTCTGTAGCACGTTTGAATGATGTCATATAAAAAATTCAATCAATTATTACTAGGGGATATATGTCAAAAATAGCACGTTTCCARTAGTGTTCGTAAGTTGTCATGGTTACTCCATAAGAGATCTCAATAGAGTCATTGTATTGGTAGCTCTTTGAWCAAAAACGTTAGGATTATTTTGCATTTTTATGTACTATGTGGTTAGTATCAAAACATGGGAATGCTAAAGTGAACTAGTTTATATACACAAAAAGTTAATTGTTAAATCCTTAAAAATATTCAAGCTTATCAAAATTTAACAAGTTTTGAAATTCAAGGTTTGATGCATTGTGGTCGGTCAAGCATTTGATTTAAACSTTTCAATGATAACCTGGCAATTGTTGTTATTTMGTGAMCCATAAACAGAGCTGTGAATAACTAAAAGTGCTAATTGAGTCTCTTTATTGTAACTGTTTCATTTTCTGAAAATTTTCTTCTGTCAGATCAGGTATTATCACATAACTTAAGAATAAATACTGTAATTATTACATATTTCTACTGCATGTACAATASTTTTAGCTGAAATATCATTTTAATCATGTACAATTTATAAAAATTCTTGGAATTGTTTTGGGTACTTTACATTTTGTTAATTGTTTGGGTTTTTTTTTAATTGGTATTTGAGTGAATGTGAAAACTACAGGTACTTCCTAAGGAATTTTTCTAYTGTATTGATTTTAGGATTTTGTTTTGTTATCTTGAATTATCAAATGATTTGTATAAACTCTGACGTGATGTATGAGTGCTGTCTTCAATAGATTTAAAATAAAAATGGGTAAAAATAAAAATAAAATTTTTATTTCTSTGAGTGTGTGAAGACATTTCTTTATTTTATTGCTAGAGTAATAGATAACAGTGCTAAATCGTGATATTGAAAATTTGTAATATGTGAATTGATATYGTTCAGGCTCCAGTGATTTAAAAGCAATAACGCAGACAAAGAGATGAATTAATCAACTAAATCCAGCTAAATGACCACATGCCTCAGCTGTATTTATGATCTAAGTATTATACTGCAACAACATTTAACAATCAGTTGTAATAACTAATAAATGTTTCTCTTGGACAACCTGACAAACTTCTTCAGTCATTTAGTGACATTGATTATTTATTGACATTCCTGAATGAAAGGAACAGCATGATGTCTTTATCTGAAAAGCTTATTGCTTACCACGATCAGCTAAGCACATACATCATGCTTAACGTGTATGTGACATAGTATAGAAGGGCAAAAAAATAAGAGCTTATTCATAAAATAGTCTCATTGAAAAAATCTTTGTGTGAAATAACACTTTTTTAGGCACAAATTATGATGCTCTGGTTATACCTGAGCTTTTGATCTCCATAGCTAGAAATTATGTTTGTCTGTCTGCTAAATTTGGCTGGTTGTAGAATATATATTAAGTGCTATCCACTGGTTAAGTCTTTATCTGCCTGATATACTCCCAAACACAATTTCTGAGGACTGGATGTCAATTTATCTGGTGTATAACTTAATCCATGCTTCATACATTTAACTGGCTCCTGTAGCATTTTTTACCGCTGAGTGAACAACGTGGGAATTGAGTGACATACCAGCTCAAAATTGAGTACTGCATAATAATGTTTGAATGTTCCTAATAGAATTGATCCACATTTCATTTTTTATACTGTAGTATATTGTGTGTTTATTATAATTAAATCATCCTGGAAGCATTATTTCATAATAATTAAATAATAACATGATTATAATGTTTAATGTTATAAGGTAACTAATTAACACTTATTTACTGGAACCGAGGGAAACAGCATGTTTTGTGGTCCCGAGACCGTTGATGTTTCCCGAAGCGAAGCTGAGGGAAACATCAGTGGTCGAGGGACCGCAAAACATGCTGTTTCCCGAGGTTTCCAGTAAATAAGTGCTTTATTATCATATCAAGTGTCAAAGAGAGCAAAAAAAGTAAATAAATGAATTGTTTTTATTAAAGATTTTGATAAAATAACTGAAAAATGGCAATACAAATAGTCACTAAAATCAATCAATGTAATAACACAATGAATACTAATTTAACTATTTGTAGTTGAAATTAAATGTTTCATAACAATTTTGGAATTGCAACGTCCGTAAATGTGACATTTTCACGACACTGAAGATTGTTTTTCTGCGACTTTGTACTTATTGACATGCAGTTTTTCAAAAGATTTTGAGAAATGCACATAATTATCACTTTTAACTTGACTTAAAAGATTTGAATGTATGAATTTTTAAGATGATTATCGGATTGTGTGCAGCGAATAGCTTCTTGTGTCATGATATATGATCTTATACTAATGACTGATATACAGCCGTTTGCAATAATTCTGACCCCCCTACACTAATATTCATATATATCAAAATAGCCTTAGAAATTATGGGATACCATTGCTGATATTTTTTTTAGAAAGTACTCATTCTGGACAACTCAAAAAATATATCAGTCATGATATCCCATAATATTTAAGGTCAGTTTGATATATTTGAAATATGGCAGAGGGGGTCAGAATTATTGCAAATAGCTGTATCATATAATTTTTAATTATATTATATCCACTTGTTAATCCTAAATGTTAAAGTATCTGTCCAATTATTTTCTTAATTAATATGTGGATTATATAATTAACAGGCAATATAGGACACCCTATGCTGTCCAATAGAAATGAATATACTTGAAAAATTCAATGTTTGCATTGTCTGGAAAAATCATTTCTCTAATTGAACAGCATGGAGTCCAATTACTTTATTATTAATGATATTTTGAACTGTACTGAATATTTTTCTATACCGTTATAATAGTAAAGCACAAGAAGCTAAAGATCTCACAAGACTCCTAGAACTAATCAACACACCAGCTAGTAAGCAACAACTTCCACCTATCTCATGGATATCTGATGAAAACCAAAATGTCACTCCATCAATGTGGAACAGTGGTTCAGGTAACATGGCCCCAGCTGGTGCTTGCCAACATCAATCTACTGAAGCTCTGGCTTTAGAAAAATTCAGGTACCAGGAAKCAATTGAAAGCAATTTTTATTCTTTTATCATGAGCTTTCTTTTTAGGACGACCCCAGGTGAGAGATTTTAATTCCCACAAGGGATGCAAATGTTGTAAACAACTCGTAAAACTCAAACACACATAATTGTACAATTATTTGAATGAATAATTATCTATCCCGCATGGAATGCAAGCCACCTGTTGCATAAGGAAGTTCTGCCACCTATCTCAAACCTAGTGAAGGTGTTTAATGATATGCAATGTAAAAACTGAAACCTTTGCTCCCGGCCCGGGCCTTTGCTACCTAGGCTGGGCCTAGGGCCTAGGCTGTCTCACTGGTGGCTACCATGCCGTAAATCTGACACAACTACACTAAATGGTTGTATACACTTGTAGCTAATAGAGAAAGTGTTGTTGATATTGGATTTACATTAGTACAAGGTCAATCACCTGACCAAATGGACAGCCCTTATTCAACTTGTCTAATAATTCTTGACAGTTAATTTTCTTATTTGATTTCTGAAATAGTTCAAGATATCAGAACACAAGAAATTTCACCAATCACCCTGACTATGACTATTTCTCCCAGGTACAGTATGCAATTAGTTCTTCTTACCGTCTTACCATCAAAATAATGATTACACCCTATGTTTGCACCAACTACTAGTTTTCTTATACGCACATGTACCCTTGCAATATGTACATTTTAGGTTTTATTACAGGCTATAATTATACTAAATTTGGAGCTCATCGTCATTGTCAACACTTCAAAATCTTATCACTACTGCAGTACACCAATAGTAATTCTTTAGTACTATTAGTTGCCTGTCACTGGACAGTTGGCTTGCAGTAGATTGAATTTGACAATTATTATAAGATCCAAATAAATTTATCTTTCTAATCTGTTTGTCTTCCCTTTTCTTCCAAATTTTACATGATTTTGTTTTTTCATGTAGGTTTTTATATCCCTTGTTAAGCATAGAGTGTGTTCCTTGTAAGTATATGATTCAATTTCAAGTTAAAGAATGTGGACTATAGAACTAACTGCCATGGTTACCTTTGTCTTAGGGAATGGACACAAAGGGCTCCTCCTGAAAACATCCTCCGTGTTCTTATATGCCTTAGGATGCTGATGAGGGATAAAGCATTTCAGGTTTGCAAGTTACTGA